AGGCAGGAGAATCGCTTGAGCCCAAGAGTTGGAGGTTGCTGTGAGCTGTGATGCCACGGTACTCTACCCAGGGCAACAGCTTGAGGCTCTGTCTCCAAAAAAAAAAAAGAAAGAAAAGAAAAGAAAAATAAGGACATAACATGACTGGACACATTCTGGACATCCCTTTGATAACAGCCATGTTAATAGGCATTAAAGGTTTATATGATGAATTGTAGGGTGCTAGAGGAGCATGACATCCAAAGGAGTTAGGTGGTTCTCTATGTTTAATAAGGTTGCAGTTCAAAGCAACAAGAAATGATAACCCTTTAAGGATTATAACTGAAATAGGATTTTATCTTAAAACCTAAGTATACATGGGGTAGTGTTTCTTTATTCTCTCAGAAATATTGTTGAAAGTATTCCATTGGATCTGAGATTGCATTTATATCAATTTCATAGAAGTTAAAATATGGAGGCAAAATAGCTGATAGTGATTTTAAGATACCTCAGTAAAAGGACATTTTGATTGTTTAATTGTGAAAAAATTATGTTGATATTGAATATCTAGTTAAATTTTTAATCAATAGTTGTTAGAATGGAGGACTAAAAGTAAGAGACGTTAAAGTACTTCTGTTTATGAGTCAGTATGATTTAGTGATCTGACTTTTTTTTCCATAGATTTGGAGGTTTTAGACTCTATATTATGAATATTGATTTTGTAACTAGGCTTCCTGGTGCTAAAACAGCTGCTGAGACCAGCGATCACCCTGATCTTTGTTTGGTTCCTCATGCTGCTCATATATTGCGAGGGGTAGGTGGGGGTGGTAGTGGTGCTGCTACTGCTTGTGGGTTAGCGCCTGAGTAACTGTAGCTCTAAGGCTTAGTAATGAACCATTCTTTAAAGCAGTAGCCCTTTGTATTGTGTCATCTAGTTCACTTATGTGTTTTACATAAATATGTGAGTGTGGGAAAGTTTCACAAAATATTTGCCAAACTGCATGGTATTCTTTTTGATATAGCCTCTTTTTTCATTATAAAAAGAAACATGCTGCTCATTTCAGCACTTTGCACTTTTATTTTTTGGAGCTAGGGTTTCTGTCACCTGGGCTAGAGTTCAGTGGTGTCATCATAGCTCACTACAGCCTCAAACTCCTGGGCTTAAGTAATTCTGCTTTAGCTTCCTGAGTAACTGGGTCTACAGGCACACACCACCGTGTCTGGCTAATTTTTCTATTTTTAGTGGAGATGGGGGTTAAATTCTTGCTCAGGTTGGTCTTGAACTCTTTGAGTTCAAGCAGTCTACCTGCCTTAACCTCCCAGAGTGCCTGGCCTGGAGGAGGGATCTTTCTATTGCTCAGGCTTACTGATTTGGGACTGCCTCAAGCAGTCCTCCCACCTTGTCTTAAACTGCAAGGATTTTATAGGCATGAACCATGGTGCCTGGCCAGAAATTGATTCTTATTTGTTGTTGTGACTTTGAGCAAATCTCTATTTCTCATTTTAGATTCTTACAGCTGTAATAATTGTAATAGTTGTGTTCTTGCTCTGAATGAATGAACCTGTTTGCTAGGTGAGGTTTAAAAAAATATGTAAGTACACATAAACAAATATCTTCAATCTTTTTTGCAGGTCAACATCAGATTGGAAATATTTAAAGTGGAGATAAAACTATTTCAGCAATGCAGACAATTAAGTGCGTTGTGGTAGGCGATGGTGCTGTTGGTAAAACATGTCTCCTGATATCCTACACAACGAACAAATTTCCATCTGAATATGTTCCGACTGTAAGTATAAAGACTTCCATCTGTTAGTGAAATGCATAATAATTTGATATCCTTTTGAAAATGCTTTCTCTCTATGTACTGAAATTTTTCTGTTGTCTGCCTTTGTTTCTTGTTTTTAAAGATCTTGACTTCTCATGGGTAAATTATGTATACTTTAAAATGAAACAGCTGAAAAAAACATCAGTGGAAAGTCAGGAGGGGTGACACAAGGGTTTGCAAGAAGTGCAGGGAGGCAAAACTCCAATAGACAAGATTCTAAAGAGTGGTGGTCTCAGTTTGGAGAAGTGTGCCCTACATCTTGGAATGAGGTGACTTTCCTTTTTGAGATCTTGGCCAGTGATTGATTGGTGCTTGGAGGTCTCCTGGGATGCTATTTGGGGTCTTGTATCTTTAGAGAAAGTTTCTCTGCTTATTTTGTGGAGTTGTTCTCTTAGAAGTACAGGAGCTTCTAAGGGACAGAAAAGAGAAGACTTTTTTTTTTTTTTTTAAATGTTACTGCTTCCACCCTCTGAGTTTTGTTTTGTTTTGTTTGTTTGTCTATGTAGTAAGTCCGGACCAGGTTTGAACCTGCCACTCCTAGTGCATGGGGTTGGTGCTCTAACCATTGAGCAATGGGTGCCCAGCCTAAGACTTGTTTTTTTTTTAAATGAGAAACCAACAGAAACCTTTCAGAAGTTATCAGCTCCTTGGAATGGTAGAGGGAGGTAGAGGGAGGATGAGAATAATAGTGAAGTGGGAGACAGTTATCTAGAGTAGAGCTAATTTGTGAAAATGTGTTGGAGATTTAAGGTTGTCCCAAGTTGCTTAAGCAATCCAGTGGTATAATTATGTTAAATATACATGCTCATTCAGTGGTGAGTACAGAGTTGGCCTGGCATAGCAGCTACCACCTCTGTTAAGCGAGTTACTCAGGGGTAACGAGAAACTTATGTATGATTAAAATGGGACTAGTATTCTTTGGAAGTGAAAAGGAAGAAAATGCATGAGTACTTGAAATCTTCAGAGATTTGAGCATTATCAGGGTGGTGAATATGGGGTAAAGGTAATTATGTTTGTTTGGAATTGACAGTTTCTTCGTGTCATAGGGCTGGTAAAGTGATTGAGTTAGGCCAAGACTATGGGAATAAAGAAGATGAAGTTTTTTGTTTTTTGTTTTTTTTAACAGGGAGAGAATCTGAAGGTATAATTAAATACAAAACTCATGTGTTTTGAATTGGCCCACTTAGGAACAGCATAAATGGAAGATGTTTTGAGGTTATAAGAGACTTATAGGGGGGATTTCTAGAGATAGATGGATCTTGTTTTCCAGTGATGACAACTATTAGAATTTTTGTACTTAAGTCTCCATTGAAGATATTTACTTGTAAAGATTTCTGAGTGTTTTATGACCAGTCATTTGGTGTTCTATTTAAAGTGGGCTTGTGGATGTTTTATTTGTGTATTTGTATGTAGACCTCTGGAAAAGGGATAGGGTAGGGGGACCAATAGTAGTAGTAGTAGAAGAAAATTTTAAATGAGTCTTTTTAGGTAAATAAATGGACCATGAGGCACATACCAAAGTTACGGTACTTTTTTTTTCTTTTTTGAGACAGAGTTTCACTTTGTCACCCTTGGTAGGGTAGTGTGGTGTTATAGCTCACAGCAACCTCAGACCTTGGGCTTAAGTGATCTTCTTGCTTCAGTTTCCCAAATAGCTGGGACTACAGGCACCTGCCACAGTGCCCAGGTACTTTTAGAGACAGTGTCTTCCTCTGACTCAGGCTGGTCTCCCAACTCATAAGCTCAAGCAGTCCACCTGCCTCAGGCCTCCCAGAGTGCTAGGAGATTAGGTGTGAGCCACTGCACCTGGCCAATGGTACTTATGTTATTTTGGAAATGGATTTGGTGTAAAATGCATTTTGTTCTCACTTATGAACCGGGAGTTGCCATTTCTAGAATAACAGAAACTTAGAGCTGGTAGAGATCATACATTATCCATCTCTTACAGAGAAGGGAATTCAGGCCCAATTTATGGGAGAGACTTAAACATTAGTATAAGTAGAATCTGGATTAGAAGCCAGCTTTCCTGATTCTTAGTTCAGTCCTTGCCTTGTATATGAAAAATCTGGTAAAGAAGGGCTCTTTTTTTTTGAGACAGAGCCTCAAGCTGTCCCCCTGGGTAGAGTGCCGTGGCATTATAGCTCACAGCAACCTCCAACTCCTGGGCTCAAGCGAGTCTCCTGCCTCCGCCTCCCAAGTAGCTGGGACCACAGGCGCCCGCCACAACGCCCGGCTATTTTTTGGTTGCAGCCGTCATTGTTGTTTGGTGGGTCTGGGCTGGGGATTCGAACCTGCCACCTTAGGTGTATGTGGCTGGCGCCTTAGCCGGTTGAGCTATAGGCGCCGAGCCAGGGCTCTTTTTTTGAGTCCCATTTCTTAAGTATGATTTAAGAAAATAGCCCATGTGGTTTGAGAATTTAGCCCCATTCATTCCATTTCTTTGTTCTTGTTGTCAAGAACTAACTTTCCCAGGCCAGACACAGTGATTCATGCCTGTAATCCTAGCACTCTGGGAGATAGAGGTGGGTGGATCGCCTGAGCTCACAGGTTCGAGACCAGCCTGAGCCATAGTGAGACCCTGCCTCTCAAAATAGCCAGGCAATGTGGCAGGCACCTGTAGTCCTAGCTACTTGGGAGGCTGAGACAAGTGAATTGCTTGAGCCCAAGAGTTTGAGGATGCTGTGAGCTATGATGCCATGGAACTCTACCAAGGGTGACAAAGTGAGACTCTGTCTCAAAAACAAATAAACAAACAAAAACAACAAAACATGAATCAGTAGGTAGCTGAAAAGTGAAGCAGGACTGATCTTTTCCCAGTTTGAAAATATCACTTTCCCCTTTTACCTATTTTATTTAATTAATTTGTCTTTTAATTAAAACCATTTTTTTATTGTAAATGGATAAATTACAGTTGTATAGAAAAGCATTTTATTCAGATAGAAATTAATTCAAAGGAATCCATGAATTGGTGTTGGGTCTTTTCTCTTTTAGCATAATTACCTCCCATTTCCTCCCCTCCCCCCACGGTACTGGTTTTAATTTTATGGTCTATTTACAAATAAGATATCTAGTCAAAGAATATATCTTATGTCTTTGTGGTTTGTGCCTGAAAACATGAATCTTATTCATGAAATTCCTGAAGAATACCTGTAGCCTTTTCTGGATACTTTCATTGAGTGCTTTCAGGGAAGCTTTATTTCTCTCAAAATCAGCTTGTTTGTAACAATTCTATTGCTATCTGGTACCTTGACAGGAAAAAGAAAAGATTATTATGAATCTAGGAGATTTTCATTCTAGGTTAAAAGGAAATGGTCTATGAAGAAATAATTTCTTTTTTCTTTCCCTTTTTTTTTGAGACAGAGTTTCATTATGTTGCCCTTGGTAGAGTGCTATGGCATCACAACTCACAGCAACCTCAAACTCTTTGGGATTAAGTGATTCTCTTGCCTCAGCCTCCTGAGTAGCTGGTACTACAGGTGCCCATCACAATGCCGGACTGTTTTTACTCACTGAGCTGTGGACACTGAGCCAAAATAATTTCTTAGCAATCAGATCGAACATTGAGGTGTCTCAAAAGTTTCAAACTTGAACAGGATCATTTTGTGTAGCTAGAGGACTCTGCTCCTGTGGTATAACCTTCTGTTGCTTTTTATCCAGGATGCCGAGAGTAGAGCAGGCATCCTAGAACATAACTCTTGTCACTTTTCCCAAGGACCACTTAGCTCATAAATGGGCTTAGTTGTCAAGATTGGTTATATAGGGTGATGGGTAGACTAAGGGGAGATTAAATCTTAGGAATGAGAAAAAACACTGCCTTAGCTTAAGAGTTGTCCTGTCCATTTATTACCCTTACCTTCTTTACTAATATTGTTGTATTTTTATTTTTAGGTTTTTGACAACTATGCAGTCACAGTTATGATTGGTGGAGAGCCATATACTCTTGGACTTTTTGATACTGCAGGTACTTAATGTCTTTTATAGTGTTTTGATCTGAAACTATAACATTTGCTGGTTTGACATCTCTTTTGGATGTTTTGGGAAACCAGCATATTAGCAAACCATTTACCTTTTATTAACAGCAGGATTGAATACAATGATGCCTGATGGCTTGACCATGGAGCAGTCCCAGAGCTGGGATGGCAGATAGGAATTCGGAGTACCCTGGGTGGATGTTGTGGTAGGAGATAAAGTAGAATAAGAGTAGAGTTTGTTAGACAAGCTCTAAATTGAACTAATAAAATCCTGATGTATGTTGTGCAACTTGCATAGAATAAGGGGCTGTATTAGTATTGGGGGGAGAGACTAAGAGAATGAATTCATAGGAGACATGCATACTGATTATCTTCCTTTGCCCTTCCTCCACACTCCCTTATAAAGCTCAGATTTTCCTAAATATGCCCAACGTTGTAAGTTTATAAACTATGAACTATGTTTATTATCATCACTCTCTGAAATTTGAAGGCTTAGTTAGTATATTTGTCTGTATAATACATGCTTAGATAACTTCTTATGAAAGGTAGTTGGTTATTTTATGCTACAACTGAAATTGAATTGAGGGTGTACCTATATCTCCCTCACCATATATTGAGATCTGTTGTCAGCTATCAAAATTTTAAGAACACATTACTTTCTTCCTGAAGTGTACCTAATTCCTCAGTGTTACTTATTTCTTTTTCACAGGGGCTGTTGTACATCTTAATTTCTGACTTTTCTCTATGTAGTCTCTTACCAGTTAGCCAAAGGAAAATCTCACAAAGATATCCTTTAGAATATCCTTAGATTATAAGAATTCTAAACTTTTAATGAATTACTCTGTCGCTGTCTGCCAGCTAGCCTGTCACTCTCATGGAGTATATCACACTGCCCACTTTGAGGAACTATTGGATTTAAGTGGGAGGGTGAAATGGAGAAACAACAGTAAACACTTAAGTAGAGAACAGTTAATGAGTTAAAAAGTATGAGAATGTTATGTATATTATAGGAAACTTGGAAAATAGAGGGAAAAGATTAAAATAATGATGCGTAGTCTCATGATCAGTAAGGATTTTTTCTTCTGTGTTGATTCATGCCTGTGGAGGCCATCTGCGTGCAGAGAAGAGATAATTTATGTCTACTTGTTGAAAATTAATTTTATATCTGGATGTGGTAGTGGACACCTATAGTTCAGTTCCTTGGGGAGGCTGAGGCAAGAGTATCGCTTGAACCCAGAAGTTTGAGGTTACTGGGAGCTAGGCTGATGTCACAACACTCTACTAGCTTGTGCAACACAGTGAGGCTCTGTCTCAAAAAAAAACCCAACAAAAACACACTACCAGATATAATGTAACATGATATAACAGAAGGTATATAAAGCAGAAGTTGACAACTAAAAGGTCAAACAGGAGTATCCATTGTTGTTGTAGACAGTTTCACAATTGTCTAGAACAGTCTGACTTAGCACACACAGAACACTGTACCAAATAACAGCAGGATATATACACTTTTCAAGCACAGTGAAAATTTACAAAAACTTACCATACTCAGGGCAGCCGAGGTGGGTGGATTGCCTGAGCTTGGGACTTGGAGACCAGCTGGAGCAAGAGTGAGACCCTGTCTCCAAAAATAGCCAGGCATTGTGGCAGGTGCCTGTAGTCCCAAGCTACTCAGGAGGCTGAGGCAGGAGGATTGCTTGTGCCCAAGAGTTTGAGGTTGCGCTGAGCTATGATACCATGCCACTCTACCAAGGGTGACAAAGACAGGGTGACTCTGTCTCAAAAAAAGAAAAAGAAAAAAAACAAAAACAGAAAACTTACCATAAGCTGGGGCAAAAAGCACATTGTAGAAACTTTAAGGAAAGAAAATCACACAGATTATGTCTTTGCTGATAATATAGTTCAGCCAGTTTATTTATTTATTTATTTATTTATTATTTTTGTAGAGACAGAGTTTTACTTTATCACCCTTGGTAAAGTGCCATGGCGTCACAGCAACCTCCAACTCCTGGTTTTAGGCAATTCTCTTGCCTCAGTCTCCCGAGTAGTTGGGACTACAGGCACCTGCCATAACGCCTGGCTGTATTTTTGTTGCATAGGCCCTATTTTTTTACTTTTTGGTTTTTTTTGGAGACAGTCTCAAGCTGTTGCCCTGGGTGGAGTGCCATCAGCGTCAGCTTATAGCATCCTCCAACTATGGGGCTCAAGCAATTCTCCTGCCTCAGTTTTTCTATTTTTAGTAGAGATGGGGTCTCATTTTTTGCTCAGGCTGGTCTCAAACTCGTGAGCTCAAGCAGTCCACTTGCCATGGCCTCCCAGAGTGCTGGGATTACAGGCGTGAGCCACCGCATCCAGCCTATTTTAGCCAGTTTTTAAAAAAGAAAACTGTATGTTTGCAAGTTAAGATGTATGCTTCTCAGTAAAAAAAAAATTGATTTTAAATTTTACTTAATTTTTTCTTTATTAAATCATAACTGATTTAATAAATCATAATCATCTCCTCACTTATTAGTTGTGGTAAGGCATTTATACTCTATTCTTAATTAAATTTTATTTAAGTTACCAATGTAAGCTTTTACATTGGTTAGTACTTTCCAAAGCTTTGTTGTTATAGTACAATAAAATTCACTCATTTCAAGTGTTCAGTTTGACAGCTTTTGCTGACTCTTCACATAATCAAGATATAACATGTTTATCACTGTAAACATTTTCCATCTGAGTGCCTAAACACAGTGGCTCACGCCTGTAATCCCAGCACTTGGGAGACCAAGGTGGGTGGATTGCCTGAGCTCACAGGTTTGAGAACAGCCTGAGCCAGAGTGAGACTACATCTCTAAAAATAGCCAGGCGTTGTGGTGGACGCATGTAGTCCCAGCTACTTGGGAGGCTGAGGCAAAAGATCGCTTAAGCCCAGAAGTTTGAGGTTGCTGTGAACTGTGATGCTATGGCACTCTACCAAGGGTGACAAAATGAGACTGTCTCAAAAAAAAAAAAAAGTTTCCATGTGCCCTTTTGCAGTTAGTCCCATCCCTTGACCCAGTTCCAAATAACCACAGATTGGTTTCCTGGTTTCTACAGTTTTGCTTTTCCATGTAATATGTAGTCTTTTGCTGTTTGACTGCTTTCACTTAGCATAATGTTTGCGAGTCTTTCATGCCATGTGTGTTATTGCTGGGTAGTATTCTATTCTGTCAATACAGCATAGTTTGTTTCTCCATTTACAAGTTGATGGATATTTCGGTTCCAGTTTTATGCTATAATAAATATTGGTGCTGTGAACTGCTCCCATGTTTTTAGCTATTATGAATAATGCTGCTGTGAACATTGGTATACAAATATCTCTTTGAGATGCTGCTTTCAGGTTTTGTTTTTTTTTTTTTTTTGAGACAGGGTGTTCCTATGTTGCCCTCGGTAGAGTGCTGCGGCATCACAGATGACAGCAACCTCAGACTCTTGGGCTTAACGTGATTCTCTTGCCTCAGCCTCCCAAGTAGCTGGGACTACAGGCACCCACCACAATGCCCGGCTATTTTTTGTTGCAGTTGTCATTGTTGTTTAGCAAGCCTAGGCCAGGTTTGAACCTACCAGCCTCAGTGTATGTGGCCGGTACCCTAACTGCTGTGCTATGGGTGCCAAGCTTCTATTTTTAATTTTTTGAGGACCTTCCATATTGTTTTCCAGAGTGACTAGCCTGTTTTATGTTCCTCCCAACAGTGCTTAATGTTTCAGTGTCTCCACATTTTTGCTAACACCTATTTTCTGTTTGACTATAGCCCATCCTAATGAGTATGAAGTGTATTGTAGTTTTTGACTTATATTTCCCTAGTGATTAGTGATGTTGAACATTTTTTTATATGCTTATTGGCCATTTGTATATTTTATTTGGAGAAATGTCCAGTGCCCATTTTTGAATTCAGAGTTTTTTTTGGTTGTTTGTTTTTTGTTTAAGAGTTCACTGTAGATTATAGATATTAATCCTTCATGAAATACATGATTTGCAAATATTTTTCTCCCATTTTGTGGGTTGCCTTTTTACTCTGTTGATACCATTTTTTGATGCATAAAGTTTTTAGAATTTTTATAAAGTTTAATTTGCCTATTTTTTCTTTGGTTACCTTGTCTTTGGTATCATATCCAAAAGATCATTGCCAAGCCCAGTACTATGAAGTTTTTGCCCTATGTTTTCTGAGCGTTTTTAAATTTTAGGTCTCTTAGCTATATTTATTTATTTATTTTGAGTTAATTTTTGTTTTTGGTGTTAGCTAAGGTCCAACATCAAGTGGATAACTCATTTTCTCAGCACCATTTATTGAAAAGAGTCCTTTTACCACTGCAAAGGGTCTTTGCACCCTTGTTAAAAAACATTAGACCATGTATGTGAGAATTTATTTCTGGATTCTTTACTCTGTTATCTTATATGTCTGTCTTATGCTAGTATCACACTGGTTTGATTACTGTAACCTATATTCGGTTTTGAAATCAGGAAGTGTGAATCCTCCCGCTTTATTCCTCTTTAAGATTATTTTGGCTGGTTGGGATTTTGATAGGGATTCCTTTGAATCTGTAGGTTGCTTTGGATGGTACTGACATTTAAGAATATTATGTCCTGGCTTGGCGCCTATAGCTCAACCAGCTAAGGCGCCAGCCACGTACACCTAAGGTGGCGGGTTCGAATCCCCAGCCCGGACCCGCCAAACAACAATGACGGCTGCAACCAAAAAAATAGCCGGGCGTTGTGGCGGGCACCTGTGGTCCCAGCTACTTGGGAGGCGGAGGCAGGAGACTCGCTTGAGCCCAGGAGTTGGAGGTTGCTGTGAGCTGTAATGCCACGGCACTCTACCCAGGGGGACAGCTTGAGGCTCTGTCTCAAAAAAAAAAAAAAAAGAATATTACGTCCTCTAATCCATGAACATGGGATGTGTTTCCATTTATTTATATCTTTAATTTCTTTCAGCTGAATTTTGTAATTTTCATTGTACAAGTCTTTTGCCTCTTCAGTTCTTATTTCTTGCCAACATTTTTTTTTTTAAGGCGCTTTGAGTTTCAGATACTGGTGTTTCAGATATGTGTGCAATAAACATGTGAACCTGCTTTAGTAGTCGTGATAGATAGTGGATTTTTTTCAACTGGATTTCACTGAGATGTTTGTTTCCTTAGTTATTTTTTCTGTGATTGTTTCTTTACCAGATCTAAGATATATTTTTAACCATTTCTGTAGCAGGAGTTTATTATTACATTATTGTTGGGTTACGAATGGATATAAAGTTGAAAACTACAAACTAGCTATAAAAACAAATAATGTAACAGCAAGTTGGTTACTCTTCTGAGTGCTCTAGATGTTAAATACAATTAGCCAAGTAAGCATGTTGTCCACATATTATGTTACAAAGCTGTACATTTTATTAGATAAATAAGTTGCTTTCTGGCTAATGACTAATGTACTGTGACTTGTGATTTTAATGCTGAAATGACACCAACATTCAATTGTGGAATTCATTCCCGCCAATTTTTCTTCCTAGGGCAAGAGGATTATGACAGATTACGACCGCTGAGTTATCCACAAACAGATGTATTTCTAGTCTGCTTTTCAGTGGTCTCTCCGTCCTCATTTGAAAATGTGAAAGAAAAGGTAAGTTGTTCAGATATTCTTGTCCTGATAAAAGTCATCACAGAATTTCTGTTGACCTATTGTACTATAGCTTCTAGGTTAATGAAGGTGTATTTTAAAATGCCTTTTCTTATAGTGGGTGCCTGAGATAACTCATCATTGTCCAAAGACTCCTTTCTTGCTTGTTGGGACCCAAATTGATCTCAGAGATGATCCTTCTACTATTGAGAAACTTGCCAAGAACAAACAGAAACCTATCACACCAGAGACTGCTGAAAAGCTGGCCCGTGACCTGAAGGCTGTCAAGTATGTGGAGTGTTCTGCACTTACACAGGTAAGGACCGTGTGAAACCCCATGTTTATTTATGGTTGAGTAGTTTCTTAGACCATTAGGATGCAGGGATTATTTCTAATGGTGGTCAACAGTGCTTAGTGCTGCCTAGGAAGAATATGTACAGCTTCATGGTGTGTATTCTTTTGTTAGAGGCTTCTTTGTTTATTGGAGAATGTTATTAGTCTCTAAAGCTCTTGAGTTGGTGAGTGTCCATGTTCTGAATGATTTGTAGTGGTCAGGGTTGTGTTAAAAAAGAAAAAAAGAATCTTATAGCTGAGGTCCCAATTAAGCACAAACTTGCAAAAGAGGATGAGAATTCTTTTCTAGAGACTTAAATTTTCATCTAAATGTATCTGTTCTTTTCATGCTATTTATAACAATTGATGCTATACTGTTACTACACTGTTTCTCGGGTAACTCAGCTGGGACAAGGAATTAGTTGTAATAATTGAGACTTTTATGTCAAGGAAGACTGCCTTGGCTATTTCTGCTGTAGTTTCAAGCATGCTTTATGTTGCAGTTATTAAACATGTTACTATTTCCTCTGTTCCTATGTTTTTGGAGATGTCTCTTCCTCATGTTGACCTCTCTTTCCTTCTGGCCATTTTGGAATGATTTATTTGGAATTCTTATAGTTTGATAGGAAGCTCAGATTGGAGGACAGGAAGCCACGTAGGAGTGAGAATTTTAATTGACATGTATAGTTTAATCTTCTCCATAAGCAATGAATTGCTTACCATTTAATCAGCAGTGATATTGCTGATTCCCTCCTTTGATACTGTTGTGGGAACATTTATCATGGTTGCTTTTTCAGATAATTGTTTTTATTTATTTTTTAACGCTCTTGGATACATAATTATATGCAAGCTAGGATAAGTGGCATAGATAATTACTTACTACATATGTGCTAGGTATTTAGTATATGGCACCTAGTGCATAATTTAATAACCTCCAGTTTAGTGCTTGGTTGGATATTTAGAGTTAAAACTTTCTTTTTTATTTTATTTATTTTTTTTGAGACAGAGTCTTGTTATATTGCCCTCAGCAGAGTGCCATGGCATCACTGCTCAGAGCAACCTCAAACTCTCTGGCTTAAGTGATTCTCTTGCCTCAGCCTCCCAAGTAGCTGGGACTACAGGTACCCCCGACATTGCCCAGCTATTTTTTGTTGTTGTTGTTGTTGTCATTGTTGTTTAGCAGGCCTAGGCTGGGTTTGAACCCTCCAGCCCCAGTGTATGTGGCTGGGGGCCTAACCACTGAGCTATGGGTGCCGAACCTAAAGATAAAACTTTCATACTTAACAGGGATATCCCACAGGGTAACTTTAAGCCTAAATATCAGGTGATTTGAATGTGTTCTTCTAAACCCAGTTTTTCTTGGCACTTTAGTACTATTGTAAAAGCAGATATTTGTAAGTTCTGAAGAATTTATATTATACACATAACACTGACTGAGATTTCAAAAAAATGCCTAATGCTTCTTTCTGTGTTTTGATACTATCCTCAGAAAAGTGTGTCTGTGTGTATATTGGGGGAGGTAGGGAAAGAATGTATGTGAAATATTAATGTCTGAGTTAGATATTAATTATGTATCTGTTGTGTAAACCTGTTCTCCAGGTATGGGCTGCTTTGGGGGAGAGGAGGCAAATAGGCCATGTGGTCCTACTTTTTGGTCACTTGGTGAAGCTTTGGACAGTTGTATTAATTGCTATTAATATAAGATATTTACATTATGTACAAGTGTATATAGTAAATCACTTTGCAGAGAATAGGAAGTTTAAAAGGTCTCAGCAAGTACATTTTTCTTACCGGATTTTGGAGTTTGGAGAAGTCAAAAGAAGAAAAGGTAGAAAAT